AAGATCTAAAAAGATAATGATGAATCATCAGGCCAAGAATAGATTGAGAATTATAATTCAAAAACACTAAGCTAAATTCCAGTGAGAGTCAAGACAAAGTAATCCCACTATGGCCTTTCTCTCCCACTACTTACAACTAAAAACTCTGAAATACATAAAGCAACTACTTCAGGACTCTGAAAAGAAAGCAAAGGCAGGTAGATTAGGGGAAAAAAGTAAAATCTTGAAGTGACTCATGCGAAGGTAAGTTTCCTGTTTATTATTTTTCTATCTCCCCTCCTAGTATTAGCTAAAGTATAAGGCCCAAACAAAACTGTAACAGGAAACGTGAGCAGTAAAAGGAAATCCTGATTTTTTTTTTTTATTCCTCTCATAGCCCTGTCCAGAATAGCCCTTGTAGTGGAGCTGCGGCACAGACAAACAAAAACTGCAAGAGAAACTCCGTATTTCTAGCAAAAGGACAGGGGAAATGAGCCCCTGTAAGGTTGAGCATGAGGGGGCAATCTTAGAGACAGCTCCAAAAGAGGATTACCTAATTATGTGCATGAATTGGCACAAGTCCCATGGGATAAAGGGAGCACATACATATACAAGACAGATCCAAAACAAATACAGCTAAGTCTTTGAAAACTGAACTCTAACATAAATTACTATTCATATCCCAAACCTAATCTTGAGTGGAGCATACAAGAAACAACCAGAGCAGCATAGCAAAGACTTTGAAAACTGAACTGATATTAGAACCCAGCACACAAAAGACAAGATAAAATTTATGGTCTGAAAAAAAAAAAAATTTTTGTGGTCTGAACCTGAGATGACTGCTAAAAAAATAAACATTCTCCTGGGGATTTTAAAAGGACCCAGAATTTTACAACATAATAATTTCAAAGTCTCCAAGATAAAATCCAAAACTGTTCAACATAAAAAGAACTAGGAAAATGTGAAATCATTCTAGGTCTCAAGCAAATAACCAAAGGTAATGAAGTACACAAACCTCTAGAATCCATAGAACCAACCAGAAATAGATCTCTTAAATAAACTTTATTAAAATCTTAATAAAACATTAACTATATTCATGGAAATAAAAAGATGAACTTAAAAGTTTCAGCAAGGAACACTAATGGTGAGCATAGCATTATATATAGACCTACCAAATCACTATGTTATACACCTGAAACTAACATAACATTTGTCTGTCAACTATATGTCAATTTTTTAAAATTTCAGCAACAAACTGGAAAGTCTACAAAGTGACATTACAGGGACACTTGGGTGGCCCAGTTTGTTAAGTATTTGCCTTCAGCTCAGGTCATGATCCCAGAGTCCTAGGATTCAATCCCGTGTTGGGCTCCCTATTCAGTGGGGAGTCTGCGTCTCCCTCTCCTCTGCTGCTGCCCCAACTTGTGCTTGCACTCTCTCCCTCTCTCAAATAAATAAATAAAATCTTTAAAAATATAATTAAATTTAAAAATTTAAAAAGTGACATTACAGATATTTTAAAAACCAGCTAGTACTTACAGAACCAGAAAAATGCATTCACAGAAAATAAGACCTCAACTGACAAATTCAAAAATAGACTAGAAAAAAAGAGAGAGAGAGAGAGAAACAGACTAGAAATAGCTAAATAGAGAATTGATGTACTAGAAGACAGATTAAAAGACATTATCCTGAATGGTGCACAAGAAAAAAGATTAAGTAAAAAACACAATGCAGAAATATCGAAAGGTACAGCACAGTAGCCTCATTGACTTGAAAAGATCAAACAGGCTTTCATCTAAGGGACTTTGCACTTACTATTTCCCAAAATAGCTACATGGCTCACTCTCTCACTTATTAGGGTCAATAAAATACTTCCTCAACCACGCTATCCCAAAATACTCTCTCTTTAAGCAGTTATCATCACCGTACATATATTTTATTTATGTATGGTCTCTGTGCCTCCACGAGGATGCATACTCCTTTAGAACAGAAATTATTCACTACTGTTTTCTTCAGCATTCAGAACATTTCATGACACAAAGTAGGCACTTTAAAAACTGGTGAATGAGGGGTGCCTGGGTGGCTCAGTTGGTTAACCATCTGCCTTTGGCTCAGGTCATAGTCTCAGGGTCCTGAGATCAAGCCCCACCTCAGGTTCCAGGCTCAGCGGAGAGTCTGCTTCTCCTTCTCCCTCTGCCTCAGCCCCTCTCCTAGCCCACACCCACACAAGTGTGGTCTCTCTCTCACACAAATAAAATATTAGAAAATAAAGAAATAAAAATAAAAAATGGTGGGACGCCTGAGTGGCTCAATAGCTCAAGTGTCTGTCTTCGTGACACTTGGATCATGGATCATGATCCATGATCCCGGGATCCTGTGATCCAATCCAGCATTGGGTTCCCGGCTTAGTGAGGGGCCTGCTTCTCCCTTTGCCTCCTGCTCCCCCAGATTGTGCACACACTCTCTCTCTCTCTCTCTCTGACAAACAAATAAATGAAATCTTTATAAAAAAAAAAAAAGATAAAAACTGGTGAATGAGGGATAATTGGGTGGCTCAGTCAGCTAAGCAAACTTGACCTCAGGTAGTGATCAAATGGATTATAGGATCAAGCCCCATGTCAGGCTCTGTGCTCAGCAAGGAATCCACTTTAGGATCTTCTCCCTCTGCACTTCTCTCCCTCTCTCTCCCCTCCTCCAATAAATAAATAAATCTTTAAAAAAAACTGGTGAATAAATAAATAAGACAGAGAAATCACAAGAGCAAAAGAAAGACTTAAGGCAAGAATCTAGATGGAGTTTACATTAATAACTCTAAAGCCTTTTTTTGTTGAGAGAAAGAAGGGTGGGGGAGAGAATCTTAACCATGCTCCACACCCAACACAAAGTCCAACATGGTGCTCAATCTCACAAGCCTGAGATAACGACCTGAGCCAAAATCAAGAGTCAGATGTTTAACTGACTAAGGCACCCAGACACCCCTAAAGACTTTAAGAAAAACTTTATTTCTCATGAAGATATGGTCATTGGTTCATTTAAGAGAGTACCTAAAAATTTTGTTAAGGTTCTTCAAACCTCTCCCACCATCTGATCTGACTTAGCATAAAACAGAGGAAAAAAAAACTAATAGCCTTGTCTCCATGGACCAGTTCATTTTCTGCAAAGTAGTCAATACATGATCCCTCCCACCCCATCTGTATACTTTTTACGACTTTTTATACATAGATGGGAAAAGCTAATATTGAAAGCTGAGTAAACAGGATGACTTAATGGAGGAGCTGGTAGTGGTACACTACATTCTAGTAAGTCTTTATAGTTCCAAAAATTAAGTACCATAAGCAGGGACCAAGAATAAAAAATGCTAGCAATTGTGCATTCTAGAAATAAGAAGAAGAAGAAGAAGAATAGTTAACATTGAGCACTTTGGGGCGCCTGGTTGGCTCAGTGGGTTAAAGCTTCTGCCTTCGGCTCAGGTCAGGATCTCAGGGTCCTGGGATCGAGCCCCACATTGAGCTCTCTGCTCAGCGGGGAGCCTGCTTCCTCCTCTCTCTCTCTGCCTGCCTCTCTGCCTACTTGTGATCTCTCTCTGTCAAATAAATAAATAAAATCTTTAAAAAAAAAACATTGAGCACTTTGTACTGCTCTAGGCAATTTATTAATTCTCAAAACAACACTAAGAGTCACTTCATTAATCAATAAACAGTGGATCAGAGAGATGATAAAACTTATTCAAGGTCAAGTAGATAGCAACTGCAAGTTTGAATTTGAGCATAAGCTGTCTACTCTTAAGCCCAAGCCTGTATGCAGTAAGCTATGTGATATTAAACTTGTAGCTAAGAAAAATACGAGCTATCCTGGAAAAGCAGGTAGACAGTATTTCTTAAAAGATTCTTGGCAGTGGGGCGCCTGGGTGGCTCAGTGGGTTAAGCCGCTGCCTTTGGCTCAGGTCATGATCCCAGGTCCTGGGTTCAAGCCCCACATCGGGCTTTCTGCTCAGCAGGAAGCCTGCTTCCTCCTCTCTCTCTGCCTGCCTCTCTGCCTACTTGTGATTTCTCTCTGTCAAATAAATAAATAAAATCTTAAAAAAAAAAAAGATTCTTGGCAGAAACAATGTAGAGCTAGTGTCAAATTAATGACAAAGATAAAACAGTTATTTTTAAAATAAGATTTTTATGTTTTTCATCAAAATGAAAAAAATTCATACATCTAAAATAAAAATATGCCTAAAATGAAAATGTATACTTTCATATATATATATATATATATACACATATATCTATATATATACACATATACACACATACATACATACATACATACCACAGCCTTTGTAAAATACTTTAAAAGCATATTTCTTTCTTTAGGAGAAAGTTGAGAATTCTATTTACACTGGAAATAAATATTGTTTATTCTTTTTTTTTAAAGATTTTATTTATTTATTTGACAGAGAGAAATCACAAGTAGACACAGAGGCAGGCAGAGAGAGAGAGGAAAGCAGGCTCCCTACTGAGCAGAGAGCCTGATGCGGGACTCGATCCCAGGACCCTGAGATCATGACCTGAGCCGAAGGCAGCGGCTTAACCCACTGAGCCACCCAGGCACCCAATATTGTTTATTCTTAAGTACTATGCCTTCAGCATAGTCCTCTACCAATATTTTTTTTCTACCAGTATTTTCTATTATAAACATAGCTATATATCAATTCAATTTGCTAGTTGTTCCAGGAAGAAGAGAAAGTTAGTCTCAAGATCATGTTTTAACTGAAGTAAGAACTACAAATGTCATGTCTAGGTATATATCTTTTGAAATATATTATCTTTCAGAACACTTTGAGCTTTCAAAACTCAAAGAACTGAGAATCAAATTATTACTTAGGCAAAGAAAACATATGAAGCACATATAACTTGTTCTAATCAAAATTGGTTCTAAAAAGTGAAAAAATAATTTCTTCCCTTCTCCACCCCCACCATTACAAGAATAAATTGATTTTTAAAAAAATAACATAAAACAGTAAGTATATTTACATTTCTTTGTCTTTTCTGCAGATCTGGCACAGGTTTCCTTGAGCAAATTACACAAATGCCTTGTAGCATTATTCCTGAAAGAAAGCAAAAAGTCTCCCTAAGTGTAATCTGATTTCAAAGCAAATTCATATGTAAAGGTTATGAAACACTGTTTCAATTTTTAAGGAAATTCTTATATTTATATATATATATATATATATATACACACACACACATATTATATATATATATATACACACACACGTATATATCACATCACTCATAAATGATTATATGAAAAAAATGGGTTGACTATACTATTAGCAAAGATGATTTAGTAACTTCCTCCCTTCAAAAGTAAAAAGGCTAATTCCTTAAGAACTTTCTACCCAAGTAGCTAACAATAACATTTCAGTAAATATTTCCAGATTTTGCCTAAGGGGAAAAAAAGGGTTTAGCTTTTCATTTACTAAATGCTTCAGAAATAATCTGTCTTGGGGCGCCTGGGTGGCTCAGTGGGTTAAGCCTCTGCCTTCGGCTCAGGTCATGATCTCAGGGTCTTGGGATCGAGCCCCACATCGGGCTCTCTGCTCGGCCGGGAGCCTGTTTCTCTCTCTCTCTGCCTGCTGCTTTCCCTACTTGTGGTCTCGCTCTCTCTGTCAAAAAAATAAATAAAATCTTTAAAGAAAAAAAAAAAAGAAAGAATCTGTCTTACCCTTAAAACATTAAACAGGTAATTTTCTGACTAGCCTTTCATTACAGGAATAATAAGATCTCTGATCATCTCAATAGATGCAGATAAAGCAATTAATAAAATTCAATATCCATTTATGATAAAAACTCTCAATAAAGTAGGTATAAAAGGAATGTACCTACCTCAACATAATAAAGGCCATATATGACAAGCCCACAGCTAACCTCATAATCAACAGTAAAAAATAAAAAGCTAAAAGCTTTTCCTCTAAGATCAGGAACAAGACAAGCATGCCTACTTCTCACCACTTTTATTCAACATTGTGTTGAAAGGCTTAGTCAGAGCAATCAGGCAAGAAAATAAAGTAATCCAAATTGGAAAGTAAGAAGTGAAACTCACTATCTGCAGATGACATATCATATATGTAAAAACCTAAAGATTCCCCAAAAAACTATCAGAATAAAACAAATTCAGTAAAGTTTGCAGGATAAGAAATCAATACACAAAAATCAATTGCATTTCTGCACACTAATAATGAACCAGCTGAAGGAGAAATTAAGAAAACAACCCCATTTACAATTGCACCAAAAAGAATCAAATACCTAGGATTAAATTTAACCAAGGAGGTGAAAGACCTGTACATAAAAGCTGTAAGACATTAATGAAAGAAAGTGAAGACATGAATAAATGGAAAGATATTCCATGCTCATGAATTAGAAGAATTCATTAAAATGTCCACACTACCTAAACAGGTCCTGATACCAATTTCAATGTGGGAAGGGAGGTTCCCTACACCAACAAGCAATTCTTAGGACACCAGCTGGACGTCCCATAATTCAATGCAATTATGATACTATCTACCTGGAGATAGTCTCAGATTCTACAGGTCAAGGGTTCAGTCTTACACAACTGCTGTCCCCCTAACCCATTTAAGATACCAGTTGCAAGCCCAGGTTTTAACCTGTCTTTCTGTCAAACTAGCTATAAATCAAAAGATCCCATGACTCACTCCTTAGTTTTCAGACACCAGGCACAAGTTCAGATTGTAACCTGAATCTCTGACAGACTACCTAGAAATCTAAGGTTCCTTGAATTTGATTAATTTGCTGGAGCAGTTCACTGAACTCAAATGATTTACTTGCTAGATTACTAGTTTATTATAAAAGAATATAACTCAGGAATAGCCAGATAGAAGAGATGCATAGAGCAAAGCATGGGGAAAGGGTGTGGAGCTCCATGCTCTCTTAGCTCACCACTCTCCCCAAATCTCTTCACCAAGCTGGAAATTTTCCAAACCTGGTCCTCTTGTGTTCTTACAGGAGGCTTAGTTACATAATTGTGACTGATTAAATCATTGGTCATTGATGACTGAATCAAACTCCAGACCCTCTCCCCTCCATAAGGGGGACGAAAATTCCAACCATCTAATATGAAGATAGAGGATTACTCCTACACTATGGAAATTCAGATTGGTGCAGGCACTGTGGAATACAGTATGGAAGTTGCTCAAAAAATTAAAAGTAGAACTTCCCTATGATCTGGTAATCACACTATTGGATATTTGCCAAAAGAATATGAAAACACAAATTTGAAGGGATATATGCACTCCTATTGCAGGATTATATACAATAGCCAAATTATGGAAGCAGCCCAAGTGTCCATTGATAGATGAATGAATAAAAAAGATGTTGTGTGTGATACACACACATACACACACACACACACACACACACACACACACACAGGAATATTACTTGGCCACAAAAAAAGAATAAAATTTTGCAATTTGCAACAACATGGATGGATCTAGAGGGTATAATGTTAAATGAAATAAGCCAGTCAGAGAAAGGGTGGTTTGGTTTGGTTTTCAAAGCCTATGACTATTCTCCAGTACAGAGTAGTAGTTCCCAAAGTATGATCCTTGAACCAGCAGCATCCACATCACTTGTTAAAAGCTCAAATTCTGAAGCCCTACTCCACTGAATCAGAAATTCTGGTAGGGGAGCAGAGGACAATAGCATATATTTTAATAAGCTCTGCAGTTACTTCTGATGTTTGCTAAAATTTAAGAACCACTGGGTCTAGAGATGAACTTTTTTTTTGGTAATTTTTTCTTCAGTGTTCCAAGATTCATTGTTTATGCACCACACCCAGTGCTCCATGCAATACATGCTCTCCTTAACACCTACCGCCAGGCTCACCCAACCTTCACACCCCTTCCCTCCAAAACCCTCAATTTAGAGAGGGACTTTCTTGTTACTGGTTTTGTAAAAATGAAAACAAGTGACCATAAATCTAATTCTTCAATTACAATTTGAAAAAAATTTCAGCCTTTTCCTGTTAATTTATGGTGAGGGGTAGAGGTACAAAAAGTACCTTTACCAAAAGTACCTTGTACCAAAAGGTATGAAAGTACCTTTACCAATATGTTCCCTAGACCACAAAGACTATTTGAACAGCACGGCCTGACAAAAAACCAGCCATATACTCCATATACAAGCAATCATCCAATCAAAAAAGTATTTATTCAAGTCTATGTTCCTACAGTGTCTCAGTTTTAGAATTCTTAAAACTCTTCACTGGCTTCCAAATGGCTATTTGCAGCAATTTTCAAACTTTTTTTTTCCCCTAGAACTAAAATCCTTTTTCAAAATGAAATCTTAACTGGATACACAAGATTTTAAATTATACTTAATGCTGTTCTTGCTGAAGGGAGCCATAACTATAACCATTCAGCCTTTCTTCAGCCCACCCCTCTGCAAACCCTATCTTCCATCTCTACTCCAACATAAAAATCAAAATTCCTTAGCATGTCATGAAATGCTAAAGTAGAAACCTCTAATTCTCCTCCTGGCTAACTCCTATTCATCCTTCTAACCTCCTCATCTTTAGAAAGCCTTCTCTGACGACAACCACCGTCATATGCATGCAACAGGGCTTGACAGGTTTAATTCATTAAATTATTTAAACAAATCCCAGGTAGGAGTCTAACAAAATCAAATGTTGCTTTTTTTTTTTTTTTAAGATTTTATTTATTTGACAGAGATCACAAGTAAGCAGAAAGGCAGGCGGAGAGAGGAGGAAGCAGGCTCCCTGCTGGGCAGAGAGCCCAATGCGGGTCTCTATCCCAGGAGCCTGAGATCATGACCTGAGCCGAAGGCAGAGGCTTTAACCTACTGAGCCACCCAGGTGCCCACAAATGTTGCTTTTTAAGGTTATTTCTGAAAATATGTAATTGTAGATGCTTCAGGTTTCACTAATGAAATTTGAAAATTGAGACTATTACTACATCTAATGGTGGAAATCAGATCACATATAAGGTCCTGCTCCATTCCAAAAAAAGCCTCCAAAATTATCTAAATTATCTCAAAACCTTTTCCTGCTCAAAAATGTCAATAAACCAAAGTGTTCATTCCCTCTCAAACTTCTATTACAGGCCAAGCATATGGTTTTGAAATACCCAAATTCTCTTTCAAATCTACATCCCTTTTAGAAAATCATCAGTGAAGGAGCTGGTCCTGAGCAACTTTATATTAAATCTGTCATTCAATAATCAAGTCGCTCTACCTTGAATGCAACTTTGTTTCTCACCTATATTTTGACAAAGCTCTTACTTAAATGTTAGTTTCCTTCAGATGACAATTGACAATTCAGTATTTGAGGCCTAAATGGATATACAACCGAAACTGCTTAAAATAGAAGGAAATCATACCCAGAATAAATGCACTCCCTCTCACCTCAAAAAAATGGCATAAATTCTATATTATGTCACATTACACTACCTTACACTATACTATGTAACTAAACAGTCACAGTGTTAGCAAAAATTCAACTGTTCATCAATGGAGGCAGTAGCAATCTTAAGAAAGCTCATCAACTATCAAATACTGGTATTAGAGCTACGGTGGGCTTTAGATGTCCTATAAGATACTACGGAAACTCAATCCCATACCTATATAAAAGTGAGCATAAGTACCAAATATACAATAGGCATACAATGTTAGAAACTTTCTCTTCTCTCTCCCTTTTCCCTAATAACCAAACCTCAATTAGGCAGGGAAAAAATTAAGGTTTAGCATTTAATCTTTTATCTGGGAAGTCATAGGCTGTCTTTTTTTAATTAAATAATCTCTAACCCCAATATTAGTCTCAAACTCACCACCCCGAGAACTAGTCACAAGCTCTTCCAACTAAGCTAGCCAGGCACCCCCATAGGTTGTCTTTCAATTGGACTAAAACAATCTAAGAGCCTTTTTCCTTTATCAGCAACTTCACTGACAAAGTGATAAGTCTTCTAAAGCCATGATGTTTAACTTAAACATGTAGGAATAAATAAATTTTGTACTCTTCAGGGACCCATACATTACATTCTAACCAATATTTACTTGACAGATGAATAAAAACTACAGTTTTCTATTACATTCTATATGATATAAAATGAAAGAGACAGTAAGTGTATAAAATAAGGCTTAGCTATTGCCTAGAACAAAGAAAAGGAAAAGCTAAGGATGACACTAAGATTTTAAGCTGACATTAATGGAAGAATCATTAGATCACTGACAAAAACAGGAATTTGAGAGTAAGAATTAGCTTATAATGAAATTGAGCACTATTTTACAAATACTGCACCTAAAGTGCTGCAACAATCAGAAAGGTAGAAAATATACATAGGCAGTTGTAGATACAGTTATCAGATAACTTTTGATAATAAATAATGGTTTCTCCTGACTGATACTTTAATAAGTGAGAAATTATCAGTCAGTGATCACTGTTTGACAAATACAAGAATGTAAAATAAGTATGTCTTCCTTCTTCCACAGTACCCAGGTAGAATTCTACAGATAAGTTAATATTACATAACAATATTAAGTTCAATAAATTTCTGGAAATCATTTTCATAAATCTGGAATAAATTTAGAAAGAAAAATTAAATTATTACTTACTCTTTTATTAAATCTTTATTTTCTTGAATTCCTTCTTCTAATTTCAAACTTACTTTTTCATTTTCAAACTAATTTATAAAACAAAAAAACAGTTCATCACATTTTGCTTATTATTAGCAAAATAAACACGAGTACAATCATTAAGCAGCATTTCTTTGCTAACAACTAAGAAGTTTAAGAATTCTTTGCACACAAAAAGCTTTTTTGTGTCACAGCTTATAGATTTTCCTATAAGAATATGGATCTCACTTTCACAGATCTAAAATTAAGTTTGCTGAATCATCTCCAAAAAGTATCCAACAGTATTTTAATGCAATATTATCTTCCCGAAACATTTTTAAATGTTTTATCTTTGTCCTAACCCAATGTTGCATTTTCAACATTTTTCTTTCCCTCGACCACAAAGCTGAAGCTAAATAGTTCCAAATATAAAATCCACAAATGTCATATTCCAATAAAAGACATTCATATCAAACAAATCATCGCCAGTAATAGGATTAAAATTAAAAATTTATAATTAGAATCATTAAAGAAATCTTTATCTAAAACAATTTATTATTTCCCTAATCATTTGCATTAAGCTTTGTGCAACTTGTCCTCTGTGCTCATCCTAAAGCTGAAACACAGCATCAGTTAAAATTCAAAAAACACCGTCCTTAAAATCCACATCAAAGAAATACTCTATTTTAAAAGTATTACAGAATTATTATAGAAGTATTATAAAATCTACTACCTACATTTTCAATTCCAAATCTCATTATACCTGTAGTTCCTGAATGGCTTTCCGCTGTGCTTCAATTATCTTTCTATTTTCTTGCAACTTATTTTCTTTTTGCTTCAATTCAGATTCTACATTCACTTTCCACTTCTTGATCTTTTCAGCCTCCTTATACAGTTTTGAATATAGTCTGCTCATTGGCTCTGAATTCTGTTAAGATAAATAGATTTTCAGAGTGGTTACACTAAAATTTTGAACAATTAACAAACTACCGCTGCCTATTGCAAATATCCATGAGTAATATAATATCTTAATAGTTGAGAACAATTCTCTCTTCAATTTATGCCCTAATAGCATCTTGAAAACTACATTAACTCTTTAAAAGTTATTAGCTATATTAGCTACTTCACTAAAGTTACCGGTCACTTGACTAAGTTATACGCTACTGAATAAAATCCAATACCTCCAAAATATACCTAAGCCAGATATTGGAAATATTTTAGTCAATGAGAGAAACTGGCTGGTTAAAAGCTAAAATATGTCATTCTACATGATATCTATAAATTTTTATAATGGTCTTAAAACATTTTGGTTATATGGTTTGAAGATTACCTAGAGGACATGAATTTTCAAATACAATGACAAAAACATAGTTAACACAAGAGCTAGCTTTCATTTATGCTAAGGTCTTACTTAGCTTATATCTGGATTTCCTGCATTACACATTTCAACGTTATAAGGTAAATGCCAGTTCATTTTTTTATAAATCAGATTTCTGCTTGCTGATACCTCTTTGTTATCAAAATACATGAATAATTTCCATATTTTTAAATTCTGTGATACTATGATCCAGCAACAGACATACAGTACTTTATCAGGCCATGGAATTTCCTTAAGTAGACTCCATGCTCGAAATGGGGCTTGAACTCAAGTATCTCATGTTCTACCAACTGAGCCAGCCCAGGTGCCCCAGAATTTCTGCTTTCCTTTTTTTTGGGGTGGGGGGTGGGGGGAGAGAGAAAGAGAACAAGCAAGTATAAGGCAGAGGAGGGGCAGAAGGAAAAACAGACTCACCACTGAGCAGGGAGCCTGATGCCTTGCAAGGCTCCATCTCAGGACCCTGAGATCATGACCTGAGCCAAAGGCAGACCCTTAACTGACTGAGCCACCCAGACGCTCCTCATAGACATCTATGTGCCATAAGTAAGAATGTTTTTTATAACAAAAAAAAAAAAAAAAAAAGTACCACACGTTCTATAAATTCCTTAGACAACAAAGGAGCCAAACAATCGTACTCATTAAAGATTCTTTGTAAAATAGTGGTTTGAGTCTTGGCCTTTTCACATATTGTAGCCATATCCCCTCTTCTATTCTTGCTCTTTGTGGTTTAAAGTTAAATTTCCCTGAAAGAATGGATGCTTGCATAACCCAGGAAAATGCAGAAACCTAGTGTTTCAGCAACTTTAAAAGAAAAACGAAGGGGGGTAATGGTTTTAAAGAACAGAACTTGGGCGCCTGGGTGGCTCAGTCATTAAGTGATCCAAGGTCCTGGTATGGAGCCCTGCATTGGGTTCCCTACTCAGCAGGAAGTCTGCTTCTCCCTCTCCCTCTGCCTCCTGCTCCCCCTGCTGTGCTTTCTCTGTCAAATAAAAAAAAAAAAAAATCTTAAAGAAAAAAATAAAAGAACTTAAAACATTAGCCAAATTTTAATCCTTTAGAAGCTTCAAAAAGAAAGGCATATACAAATAACAATAAATGATACTACAATTACAAGAAATTTAATATAGATAGGAAATCTTCTGACCTCAAAATCAGAGTCTTTCAGGCCTTCCTGGTAGTGACAACTGTCAGAATTATCAACCTAAAAAAATGAGTAAGTGTTTCCTGTAAGAAAATATTTCCTTTTTTTTTTTAATTTCTTTTCAGTGTAACAGAATTCATTGTTTTTGCACCATACCCAGTGCTCCATGCAATATAAGAAAATATTTCTGATGAGAGTTTCCAAATAGTAGCAATTAAGTACTGACAACTAATTATCCAACAGCTAAAGAATTTTTTTCCTTTTTCAAACAAGCAAGTCAATACCTAAACAGATTATATCTATGTACCTTATATCTAACTTACCTGTTCAAGCATGGGCAAAAACTTAACTTTTTGTAAAGCTGGATCTGCAAGATAAAAGACAACTGGTATTAAATTCGCTAACCACTTATTTTTTATGTTATTATATCTAACTTCAATGTCAAGGCTCTCAAAATAATACTTGTATTTTCAATATCTAGCAATGTGTATGTAAAAAATACTTTTAAATACAGTGATATATTGCTTTTCCAGTCTCTTACCTGAATCAATGTTTTCCCCATTTTTTGAGAGATTAGTCATTGGAAATGGAAAACTAAAATCATCTTCAATATATTTGCTGAAACTCTAGAAATACAAAGAAGTTCTTAAATATACTGTTCCAAACCACTGTGATAACTAGCAGTGTAATTATATCTGTAATATACATCTGCTTAAAGACATGATTTCAATTGTAAATCCTTTAAGGTAGATATAATATTTAAAATATCAAGTGGTTTTGCTATGTAAAAAAAAAATACATGCTTTGTAAGTATTCAAGAAAAATAATAGTAATTCTAATTAGTAGCTTAATATATTAGTTTTCTTCAATTTCACTATGATCTTTCCCTTGATAAAACTGAGAGTTGTCTTCACTGAATAGCATCTTAGTATTACACTATTAGCTATAGAGACCATAGGAATTTTTCTACAGCGTATAAAATTGAAATATTCATTGCTTCATTCCATCTCCAATATAAAGCTCCACAGAGAAATTTTTAAAATATCAGTAAAAGCTGTTTAACCTGAGAAATTTGGTATAATTCCTCTTTTCTGATAAGAACTCTATTATATAAGTGAATTTCTCTTTTTATCCTCACAACCAGGTGACTCAAAGCCAAATTTTAAGCTTAGTCAGACACTAATTTTTACCAGTATTTTGACATATTTGTTCAAATTTTCTTATTTTTTCCTCGACCCTAATATTCTCTTAACATGTTTTTGTATCTTGCTATTTCATTGTATATGTCTTACAAATTGCCTCAAGTCATTTAAGGACAGAGGAAAGATTCAAATAAGCAGGATTTATTATGTATCCAGAGTTCCAAAGAACCAGTGATTATTTTTTTAAACGAAAGATGCTTACAAATATTACGTAGGCTTATCATTCATTCCAGGCAATATTACTGAAAATTCTTGGGTAATAAAAATCCTGGAAGATAGCACAAGCAGTAATTTCTCTGACAATGGCCATAATCATATTTTTCTAGATAGGTCTCCTGAGTCAGGGAAACTTGAGTCAAGCCAAAAACAAAAATGAACCATTGGGACTTCAAGATAAAAATCTTCTGCATAGTGAAGGAAACAATCAACAAAATTAAAAAACAACCTACTGAATGAGAGAAGATACTTGCAAACAACATATCCAATAAAGGATTAGTATCCAAAATATATAAAGAATTTATAAAATTCAACACCCAAAAATAATTCAACTGAAAAATGGGCAGAAGACTTGAATAGACATTTCTCCAAAGAAGACATATATACAGATAGTCAACACACACATGAAAAGATGCTTAACATGATTCATCACCACAGAAATGCAAATTAAAACCACAATGAGATATCACCTCACACCTGTCAGCATGGCTAAAATGAAAAAACACAAGAAACAACAAGTATTGACAAGGTTGTGGAGAAAAAGGATCCTTCATGCACTGCTGGTAGGAATGCAAACTGGTGCAGCCACTCTGGAAAACAGTATGGAGGTTCCTAAAAAAATTTTTAAAAATAAAGAAAATTCAAAATACAACTCCCCTATGATCCAGCAACTCCCTACTGGGTATTTACCCGAAGATTATGAAAACATTAATTTGAAAAGATGTATGACCCCTGTGTTTATTGTAGCATTACTTATAATAGCCAAACTATGGAAGAAGCTCAATTATCCACTGACTGATGAATGGTTATAGATGAGGTTATAGATGGAATATTACTCACCCATAAAAAAGAATGAAATCTTGCCATTTGCAATGACATGGATGGAGCTAGAGTGTATTATCCTAAGTAAAATAAGTCAGGCAGAGAAAGACAAATACCATGTGATTTCACTCGTATGTGAAATCTAAGAAACAAAAAGATAAACAATCATAGAGGGGGGAAAAAGTGACTAACCAAGAAACAGACTCTTAACTGTAGAGTACTAACTTATGGTTACCAAAGGGGAGGAGGGTGGGAGATGGGTAAAACAGGGGATGGGGATTAAGGAGGATCCTTCTTGTGGTAAGCACTATGGGATGTATGGAGTGTTAAATCAGTATATTGTACACCTATAGCTAACACGAGTAAATTGGATTTAAAATTTTAAATAACTTTGTTTAAAATTCTTGGGTAAATCAGGCCACATTTGCTAGGAAAAAAAAAAAATTATAAAATAACACCCGTAAGAAAGTACATGGTGTCTCCTTACCTGAAGTTAATAGTCAAATCAAGATTCATATGCAAATTTACCTTGAAGAAATTAGACTCTCCTCCCAAACTCTGAGGTTTCACTGCAGATACTTGACTGCTACTTAATCTTGGTGGTACAAACAATTTAAAAGGCTTTTGCTTTTCCATTTTCTCTCTTCCAGTTGTAATTATCTATTGCCCCAGAAGGCAGGGGGGGAAAAAGTGTTTTTACATTGTTTCATTAATACACTCTTTATGCTTTATTTTTAAAAGCAAGGTCTGTACAACAAATGCTATGTAAAGGAGCGGGTGTAACCTTTGCTACACTGTGAGTCTGCAGCGTCACATCACTGTGCGAGTCAAAGTAAAAACACCCCACAGTTGTTCCCACCATCTACCACCACCAGTGGCCAAGCTGGCGACCTAGATAAGCCAGAAACTCCGAGGTACCATCACTGTGACAGCCCGAAAACAAAGCTCTACCTCCGCCAGCCCTGGTAAATTGCATCACTCCACCGCGAGAACTACTGTAGATTCTTAAGAGGGGTACCGGATACCCAGGAGGTGCTGGAGGGGCGGGGGGAGGGGAGCCCTCGCAGGCGGAGGGCTGCCCTAGCAGGCGGAGGGCTGCAGGTGCCGCAGGTGCTGACGGAATCAGATTATCGCCCAGCTCCTGTTTCCGTCGTCAAAAAAGGAACTCAGTACCCCTGTCCTTACCTTTCAAGATTCAGGGGGAAACCATGGACTCGGTGCCCACGCGAACTGCTACCTGCTGTCTATTAGGACAGCAAAAAGAATCAACGAGAGCTTCTGCCTCCGAACCTCAGAAAAGGCGGGAAATCGCTCCCCTTCGGCGGCCAGCCAGGAAAGGGCGCGGTACACGACTGTTTAACGGCTAAATAACGGTCAGCTGCGAGAGTTCGCCCGGCTCCCAATTCTCGCGAGATTTTCCTTTACATTGGTAACGATTCTTCGCGGGATTCTATTTTTCCTTAGCGTAGACGTTCTTTAAGATTCTGCTATTGTCAGAGAATGCAAGGACTGTGATAGATTGGAGCAGAGAGTGAAAAATGCATTTCTGTCATCCAAGAATTGAGTCTTAGGGAAGAAACAGATGGGCAGATAATTACAGCCAGGTGTAATCATTTAAAGGTGGTAATTTAGAAAGGGTTGTTAAAACACAGAGAAAGCGGCACTTAGGGTGGCCTGGGGAGTCAGGAGAGGTTGCACAGAGGTGTTAGGCTTCTCGTACAGCTTCGCTCAAGAATAGGAGAGTGATTAGAGAGAGAGTGGGCCAACAGTTAATGGGGAAAGAGGATTCCTGACCGAGAGAACACAGGCGAAGGCCCTGTGGTTGTGAGCGAGATTAGTACGAGAGAGACTCCAAGAAGTTTGGCGTAGGTGTGTGAGGCCAGGTGGGAAAACTGCAAGAGATGAGGCTGCAGATTTGGCAGATAGGAGGCCTTCCAAAGGCTTTTGGATTTTAGCCTTTATGGATGGGGATCTTGAAGAGTTCTGAGTAGAAAGGGAGGCAAGATCAAGTTCAGAAGAAAATGTATCGTTATGAAAAATGGTTTAGGCATGTCGGACTGGAGTTTGAGAGAGAGTTTAATAGGCGGGATAAGGTGTGAGGAGCTGAGCCGTGACAGTGAAGATGAAGAAGAGGCATCAAATGTATATTTAGGAAGTAAAATTAATAGGATTTGATGGCTTTTTAAAATAGTAAGCAGGAAAAGAAGTCTGACTGCTTGGCTTCAAGCTGGGGCGAGAAATACAATAAGTATTGTGGTACTAAATACCTAGGTTTGAGCAATACGAGAATGAATTCCATTTTGAATACATTTGACTTTGTTTTCTAACTTCTTCCGGTACTATAATTGATGTTTTCCCAAATGGCTTAAGTAATATTTTTAAATATCCAACTTTGTATAAATTTAACCTATGAGACATCATAGTTTCTGCTAAAATTTAAAAATTTTTGATCCAAGTTAAGTCCTTTACTTCACATTTTAAGGAAACTGCCTAGATACCCTATAAAAGACAAAATAGTCCCTCCAAGATATGATTCCAGGTTTATACCCAAGATGCCCTGTGGGGGCAATAATTAATAAATTTAAATAAGACATTCTTAAAGTTGAGGATATAAATTCAATATTCCAGGTTTTTTTAAGTTTTATAGCTAAAAAAAAAAAGGACTATGGTCTTTTTTTCTGTCTTGAAAACCAAAATGTTACTATGCCTAGGATTAAATTAACTTAAATTCACAGTATTTTATTTACTTACATCCAGTCTTTCAAAACAATACTGCCAGCATAGAATTTCTCAATTTCATATACTTCACATAGAATTTATTTTTACTAAATAGCCTTTCTACCCATACAAGGATTAAAATATCTGTGGAAAGATTTCAGTTTTTAAGAACTTCATTTTTTCTACAGAAGGTATTGGCAAAAATGTCAAAATATTGCCTAGCAGAATGAGTAGTAATTTGTGCTAAATTTCCCAGTGTATGTTAAAACATTTTGATGATTTGTCATTTTAACTTTTTTCAATATCTTACCATCACGGATTTTTTTAAATGTGGACTTAAAAAGATCTTTTTTTTAAGTTAAGAAAAAGTAAGAGTTGAACAGTTTTGTTCCCCTTTAATAATTCATAAAATGCTATAACAGGAATAAGTTTAGAAAGTTAGTTCTTAATCCATCAATCTGGCCTAATTAATGAGTTTCACAAACTACCTTTATTCTGATTACAATTGTTTCCACTAGATAGCCTTTCTCATGTCTATAATCCATATATTTTCATTCAGTTTTTCTACTAAAGGAAAAAAGTAAAGTTTTTTTCAGGTAAGAACTCTATTTAACATTATTCCCTTTTGAAGGAACCATACGGTAACAAAATAGTCATTGCTTCTTTTGAGTAAAATCTTGAAAGGAATCCTAGATGTCCCTCTAGTGGTTCGTCCTATATTCCACAAAATTTGATGAGCACTGATGACATCCATTTTATGGTGATATATTGGTTACCTAGCAAACCTGTTTGTTTTTCAAATCAGTCATCCTATGATGATAGAGTCAAAAATCTAGATTGAGAAAGTTTTAAGACAAACCACAACATTCTAAATTTCAACAATGTGAATACAAATTCCATTTCTCCAAGTGTGAACTAGCCAATTTGGGGTCCTTTGCTTTCCAGGTGCTAAGTATTTCTGAGTAGTTGTGAGTCAGTGTTCTCAGTTCAGTGAGCCTCCCTATGAGACGAGCAAAATGCTGTAGGTCTTCTGGATGATAAATTTTTGAATATTTGTACAAAATTTGTAAAATGGGTTCTTGTATATTTTCCACATGCTGCTTATCTTTAAGGTATGGACGATCTGAAAAACATCATCATATATATCTTAATGAATACTGGAAAGTTGTAGAAGAAAATTAATTTAAAGCAATACAGTTTGTAAATAATAAAAATAACAAATATTTACCAAACCCTTAATGTATGCAAGATATTATGCAAGTAACTTCATATAGTATCTTATTTAATCTTCATAGTACTCTATGAGGTAGAGAAATAAAGTCAAATAGGAAGAGAAGGGTCAGTAAGTGGTTGTAAGAGTACAAGAAAAAGTTTCAAGCTTATTTGAAATTTAAAAAGATTAATTTCCTCAAGATGAACAGGAAGCAAAAGGCAAGCTTCTTAAGTACCTAGTTATAAAATATAAGAACCAACCAAGAATTTCTGAATGGGTAGGCAACAATTATTTATCCAGTTACTGTGGTGGAGATATAGCAGCAAACATAACAGACACCATTTCCTGTCCTCTTTAAGCTTATACCCTGAGTTTGGGAGGAGTGGGCAAGAAAAGAGATATATACACATTTTAAATTTAAAAAAAGGGGGGGTTCCTGGGTGGCTCAGTGGGTTAAAGCCTCTGCCTTTGGCTCAGGTCATGATCCCAGGGTCCTGGGATTGAGCCCCACATCAGGCTCTCTGTTCAGCAGGGAGCCTGCTTCCCTCTCTCTCTCTCTGCCTGCCTCTCTGCCTACTTGTGATCTCTCTCTGTCAAATAAATAAATAAAATCTTTTTAAAAAATAAATAAATAATATGACAATGATACGTGTTATAGAGAAAAATAAACAGAAGAAAGAATAAGAATTTAGGGGGAAGGACAGTTGCTATTTTTAAAAGGGTAATCCAGAGGTAAGATGTCATTTAACAGAGATCGGAGATAAAGAAGGGAAGAATGTAATTATCTGGGGAAAGAGCTTTCTAAGCATATTTGTCAGATACAACACAACCTGTGGCAGGAGGCTGCTTGACATTTACAAGTAACATGTGTATCAAAAGTAATGTGGCTGTGGTGGTGTGAGCAAAAGGGAAAGTAGTAGGCAATAACAGAAAGAACTTGGCTTTTACCTGTGTAGAACAGGAAACCATGAAAGAGTTATGAGTTGGATGTGTAAACCTGGCGATTCACAGACCTGTACCCCTGGGGCTAATAATACATTATATGTTTATAAAAATTTTTTAAAATTATAAAAAGAGTTATGAGCAGAGAAATGAAATGATCTATCTTATGTTTTAAAAGAGTAACTCTGGCTACTATATAGAGAACAGACTCTAGGGAGGCAAGGGCAGAAACAGGAAAGCAAGAGAAGTTACTAGTTTGCATTAGGGTGGCCGGAACAGAGACAGTAAAAAGTGGTTGAGTTCTGGATATATTTTGAGGCTAAAGCCAAGAAGAGGTGTTGTGTATTTGACAGGGTATAAGAGAAAGAAAGTAGTGAAAGATGACTTCACAAATTTTGTCTTGTGTAACTTGAAGGATGGAGATGACATTTAGTAAAGATAGGGGAAGAATATAGGAGGATCAATGAAAAGTTCAGGAGTTCACCTTGGAGATGTTAAATTTGATATGTCCACTACAAGTTGAAATCTTGAGTAGACTATTTAGTGGAGCTTAGGGGAGCAGTCCAAGTTGGTATATAACTTTGGGACTTGTCAACATGTAGATGGTGTTTAAAGCCATGACATAGGATGAAATTTCAAAGGAAGTAAGTGTAGAAGAAAAGAGAACTGAGCTCTAGGACACAACATTTATTAGCATGGGAGATAAGGAGAAATCAACAAAGGAAATGGAAAAATCAGCCACTCAGGAGGAAAATCAAGAGAGTGTGATGTCCTGGAATTCAAGTGGAGGGGAAAATGTCTAGAAGGAAGGAATAATCAACAGAAGCCAAGTGATGAAAGTTTTCCAAGAGAGAAGGAGTGATCTGCTCTGCCAGATGAAGCGGATGGGTCAAGTACAATGAGGACTAAGAATTGAAAACTGGAATCAGCAGTGCCAGATTACTGACAGTCTTTGACAAATTATGGTAGAATGGAGAGAAGGGGACAAAAATCTGACTGCAGTGGGTTCAGGAGTAAATGAGATGAGATGAATGAAGGCGGGAGTACACAGAAAAAAAAATGTTTTTCTGTAAAGTAGAACAGAGAAATGGGAAAATAGCTGAAAGCAATTAGAGGTCAAGAAGCCTTTTTTCTAAGATGCAAGAAATTACAGCATGTTCATAAGCTGAAGCGAATTCTCTCAAAGAGAAAATTTTGAAATAAAGTTGTTAACATTTGGCATCAGTGAATAATAACCACAGACATCATGATTTGATTGCCAAACATAATCCAAATACATATTTCTGAATGGTTTTTACCTGAAAAAAACACAGTTGTTGCTGCAAGCAGAGCATATTCAGTATTAGTAATATTAAGTTCACTCATTCTTCTGTAGAAGTAAAACAATGTGGTAATAAATTCTTCAGCAATACCTAAAAAGATTAATATCAAATATATTTTCTTCAGACAACAGTGCATAATCAAACATATTGCCATTACCATCTTTTCTCAAAGCAGAATAATAAAATGAAACATTGTATCTGACCAATTTTTCCCATCCAATATAATATTTTGTATTGTATGTAATATTACCAGTCAGTGTAGTAGGTGGACAGTCTTCATTGCAAAATGTTTCCATAGAATAAATAACACTTCTATTATCACTCTGATTGGGAAAATTCAGTGAATGATCTGAATGATCTGATATTCTCATAGGACCTAGTAACAGGGAAAAATATAAAGTCTGATTTTTTAAAAATCTTTATACAGATAATAAATCCAATCTCTCTAACCTGTTAGACAGGAAATATTCCCAACAAATGGTAGCTTTATAATTTTTATTCCAGAAACATGAACTGAGATAAGTAGTTCAGATTTTATATAAATTTCATGTAGAAAACCCTGCAAAAATGTTTTCCATGATGACATATAATTGAAAAAAAAAAGGTTTTCTTTAAAAAAAAAAGCAAAAGCTAGATCAATGAATTGGAAAAGCTATCATGAAGTACTTATATTAACTAGTAAAGCGAGAATATAATATTTATTATAAAAATATAATAAAAATGATGTTATGTAATTTCTTGCTGTGTTTAATAGTAACTGTTAACATTAAGATTGAGTTGGTTGACATTTTTTACTTTCAGAAGCTGATGAAAGACATTCTTTCTGACTGTAAAGTTGGGCCCCATGAAGGAACATCACTTCAGTTTTTGATCCTTTGCATAATGCAGTCTGGTCCTCAGCTGTCAAATTTTCAAATCCTTGAAGAAAAGATCACATAATTGTTTGAAATGAGTAATGAAGAGGTAATTTTCAGGCATAAGATTTAATGTTTTTAATTATTCATTTAGTTATAATGTGAATCCTAAGTGTTTCCTTAGAATAATCAAGATCCATAATTGCAAATATGAACAAAATTCTTGATTCTGCATGGTAATATTTTGGAGCACTTTCACCAGAAATAGAGAATAATACTTTCTCATATGGCAAAAGCAAATTAAACACAGTCAGTTTAGCCTCAAATAATTTATTTTTACAGTGAGTTATCTGTGCATATAATTAGGTTTTAGCCAACTGTAGCTTGATTTTTTTCACATTATACAATTTTATTTGATTTATTTTTATATTCAGAAACAATAATTCATTTCAAAACATTAAAAGACACAATCAATCATGTGTCTTGCACTAAGTCTTTGGAGTCATTTGAATGTTTTTAAATATGAATATTTTAATCATCTGATTGTTTTTGTTTTATTTTGTTTTTAGAGAGAGAGCACACAAGAGGTCCAGAGGGGCAGAGGGAGAGAGAGAATATTAAGCAGTCTCCACGCTCAGCATAAAGCACAAGGTGGGGCTAAAATTCACAACCCTGAGATTATGATTTGAGCAAAAATCAAGAGTGGGATGATTAATCAACCACACTTGATTGTTTAAAGCATACAAAATGAACAGCTTTGGTGGAAAAACAGAGGTTTTATTTTCCTAAAATGTCCCCTTCCTTTAAAACAGGGAACTTTTTAAAAATTAAGTATGAAACTGATTTTTTTCACAAAGGTCATAAAGTGATTACCTGGGAGTCCCTTGGTAAAATCCATTAACCCCTGTAGGTGTAGGACCACTGTCTCCGAGAGTCTCAAAAAGCTCAGTTCAGGATTTACATACTTCTGCAGCTAGCCAACAAAAAGAAATAAGAGTAGTGGATTTTATTTCTTTCAACTAACTGTTTAAATGTTTAACTTTCATGTTTATGCCCTTATTTTCTAAAATAATTAGTTATAAGTTATTTCTCCCCATTAATGAACACATACAAATTTCTTTGTTTCCTCTAAAGGAATTGTATATTTTTGATGAGCAGCCACAATGTTATTAATGAGCTGATGTTCCTCTTGAGTTAGTTCCATACTCTCCTTAATCTATAAGAAAACATAAGGGGAAAACTATAATGAATTTGTATTAAGCAACACATGTCATCATTAAAGAAACAAGAAATTTTATAAGAGTTTTACCATTTTTCCAGCTCTAGTGGTGGATGATACAAGCTTGTTGTCTAGTCCTTCCTCTTCCACTTTGATGCTAGAGTAAAAACTATTCTTCTGTTTAAAGTTCTTTCGAAGTCTCTTTGATTTGCATTGGATTTCTGTGAGCAAACCTTTGATATTATGAAATTCAAATAAGATGTTTTAGGTTTAGCAAATAACATTATAGGATTTAATGAAAATGTTCTTATACTGTACACATATATTATCATAGACTTGTCTTTTCACAAAGAACATTCCTTTTTTGGCAAGCACGTACACAGAAATTAAATTTACTACATTAATTTCTTCTTTTCCTTCCATAACTACCCTCTACTTAAAAGTATACAGTCATCCTACACATAAATTAAAAATCAATTTTGCATCTCTGAACCATAAATTTAGACCTTTTTTTTAAGATTTTATTTATTTATTTATTTGACAGAGAGAGAGAGATCACAAGTAGAGAGAGAGGCAGGCAGAGAGAGAGGGGGAAGCAGGCTCCCTGCAGAGAGCCCGATGCGGGGCTTGATCTCAGGCCCCTGAGATCATGACCTGAGCCAAAGGCAGAGGCTTAACCCACTGAGCCACCCAGGCGCCCCTAAACCTTTTATATTAGAGAAATTTCTACATTATATCATGGAAACAACATAGAATATCAATTGATATAGAAGTTCAACTACTTTATCTCTGAGCTTTTTTCTTTGATTTTTTATATAAAGTCAAGGAAATATTTTGTGATTTTGAAATGAGCTAAGTTACTTTTTTTCTTAATAAAACAAGACAATGGTATTTTGTTATGCCAGTCTGAGCAGTCTCAGACAGAGATAAAGTAAAGGATTCGGCTGGTTGGACAAGACGACCTTAAGATCGACTCCAACCTGAATTTTTTTTTTAAGATTTTTAAGTAATCTCTATCCCCAACATGGGGCTCAACCTCACAACCCTGAGATCAGGAGTCATATGTTCTATCGACTAATCCAGCCAGCCAGGTGCCCCCACCCCTGGAATTTTAAATAATAGGAATCCTTTTGGTCAAGCTATAAAGAGTTAAGATTTTATTAAAATAGGCAATGTAATATAAACAGATCATTACATTGGTGTTTATTGAACAGGAGTGTAACTTAATAAAAATTGAAGAATATTATCATAGCAGTTAAAGGAAAATAAAAAGAGATAATGAAGAAACAGCCATAAAATTAATATAATAGAAAGACTGCAAGATAAGAGTTTGAGCAAGGCTAGGTTAAGCATGAAAACACTAATACTTTATTAAGAAAATGAACTTTGAAATTACCATGACATTTTGAGCCCTAGGAAATAGGAGGAGTTGTGGAAATAAGGCCAAAATCTTAGTACTACCCTGAGGATTACATGATATCATGTAATTTATAAGCTAAAAACACTGTGAACATAGAAGGAACTCAAACAGCCTAAGTACTCCTCTGCCTGTTCAAGTTGGTTTTTGACACCTATGAGCTGTTAGTAGGCTCTACATACCTACTTGTCATGTAGGCTTCTAAAGATACAAGACCAAAGAAGGGGAACTACTAATTTAAAATTCTGCTCTTTGTAGATAAATTATATAACCTTAGGTTAAGTCATATGAAAATACAAGGATTTCCAATGAAGAAGAACATATGATTATTGCCAAAATTAGAGCAATATAGTGTAGAACAGGGTTTATGGAAATAACTACCTAGATTGATTACTAGTCATCCCAATCTATCAGTTGTTAGAGAAACAGCTTAAATCTAGACTAATATGTTAATGTTCAAAATGATAATTTGAGTAATGCATTATGTTGTCAATAGGGTAAGAAAAGCTAAAATCACCCTCAAAAAAGAACCCCCAAATTCCATAATAACACTTACATTCTGCCAGCATTCCTACTGCCTTACACTTTTTCAGTCTGCACTCTTGACATTTCCTACGCATGTACATGTCCATTTCACAGTGGCCACCATTCTTGCAGTGATATACTGCATTTTTGGTGATACTACGTCGAAAAAAACCTAATAACAAAAAAAGTACTTTTAAAATTTCACTATTAAGTATTTTTAGGGTTTTGTTTGTTTAAGATTTTACTTATTTGACACATAGGGAGCAAGAGAGCACAAGCAGGTAGGCATAGGGAGAGGAGAAGCAGACTCCCCACAGAGCAGGGAGCCTGATGTGGGGCTTGATGTGGGGCTCAATGTGGGGTTTGCTTCCGGGACCCTGAGATCATGACCTGAGCCAAAGACAGATGCTTAACTGACTGAACCACCCAGGAGACCCATTTTTTAAATATATATCTTCCTAGTAGAGTTAAGTAATCAAAATAACTAAATTATTTCAATAAAATGCTTTTTTCCATCAGTAAGATTCAATTTAATATATGTTTATATTCCTTCATGATTGATATCTTCTATTCCAAGGTTGTTTCTTTCAATAATCACATCTAGAAATTAAACAAAGTAGTCCCATCAATTAAGATAACTTTCTATTTTAATATGGCTATATCATCTAAAAGCATTTTTACAACTATGTTGTACAGAATATCAGGATTCCATGAAGCGTCTCTCAAGGTGCCCTTGAAAGAATATACGCTCCTCGAAATAAGTCAATTGGAGAAAGACAACTATCATATGATCTCCCTGATAAGAGGAAGTGGAGATGCAATGTGGGGGGTTTGAGGGGTAGGAAAAGAATAAATGAAACAAGATGGGATCAGGAGGGAGACAAACCATAAGAGACTCTTAATGTCACAAAACAAACTGAGGGTTGCGGGGGGGGGGGGTGTAGGGAGAGGGTGGTGGGGTTATGGACATTGGGGAGGGTATGTGCTATGGTGAGTGCTGTGAAGTGTGTAAACCTGGCAATTCACAGACCTGTACCCTGGGGCTAATAATAAATGTTTATTAAAAATTTTTTAAATTATTTTTAAAAAATCACAGAGCTAAAGAGAAAAAAAAAGAATATACGCTTCTGTAAAACTATAAGGAAAACCTCTTTTCTTTTCTCCTCATATTACCACCTCAACCATACAAATAGGAAAAGATATTCTTTGAAACTTACTTTTCTTTCTTCCTTTTTTAGCACTCACCCAGGTTAGAAAACATTTTTAGGTTATTTGGTCTGAGACATTGAATAGGCTGTGGTGTGTGTGTGTATGTGTGTATGTGTCTGTGTCTGTGTGTGTGTGTTTTGGTGGAGGTGTCTATATTATCCTTTTCACTTCCTAAATCCATGCATAGCAGCCCCCCTTCCCATTTCCTCTTTCATTCCCCATTCCTACGCAGTAACCTCTGCTATCTTCCTCTTAATCCATTCCAAGCAGTAAAGTTGACAATCTTTGTCAATGCCCCTCTTAGAGACCTGCCATACCCTTTTTTTCTGTAGACCACACTTGAGAGTTCTGTGATTTAGAGTCGGCAAAGGAAATAGAAATTTCAGCTTAAGTTTCTAGAACCATGCCTCATCTTCCATCTAGTTTTTTTTTTTTTTAAGATTTATTTAAGAGAGAGAGAAAGAGCAGTAAAGAGAGAGGACAAACATGAGTGAGGGTCAGGAGAGGGAGAAGCAGGTTCACCACTGAGCAGAGAGCTCGATGTGATGTGGGGGCTGGATCCCAGGATGCTGGGATTATGACTTGAGGTGAAGGCAGGAGGCATTAACCTGGGGTCCCCTTCTTCCATCTAGTTTGAACAGCAAGGCCCTGCCTTTTAAGAACAAGCAAATACTTGCCCAGCTATTCTATTCATAAAGCTGGTACCTAATTTCCCACAGTCTTCATTTGGCTATTCTTTGTGAGGGGTGAGTTGTGAGATTCTGACAGTAAATCTTCACCCTGAACTTCTAAACAGACATGCTTACCAAGATGCATTGGCCTAATCATTTCCGGGTTCTGTCCCAACATTGCAATTGTAAATAAAAATAATGCAGGAGTGTTTCAAAAACTTCATCAAGGACTCAAAACTTCATCAAGGACTATTTTCACTCTTTGAAAATTTCATTGTCAATTATGATCTTCACTTGCAAACCTCCCATTTGTTTCCAGAAAAGCATTCAAAGAAATTAAAATAGCATCATAGAAGTCATTTAATTCAAATTCCCTTCTAATGCATGAATTATATCAACCACATGAGAAGATGGAGCAGTTAACATTGAGATATTTTTTAAAATCTTTTTTTTTCTAAAAGATTTTATTTATTAATTAATTTATTTATTTGACAAAGATAGAATGCCTATGTGCTGGAGCAAGAGGAGGGGTGGAGGGGAAGGGGCAGAGGGGGAGGGAGAGGGACAAGCAGACTCTGAGCCAAGCGCAGAGCATTCCACTCCAGGCTTGATCCCACCACCAGAGATCTCAACCTGAGCCAAAACCAAGGGCCAGTCACCCAACCAATGGAGCCACCCAAGAGCCCCTAAAAATCATTTTCTATTCCAATATCCGATTCATCTAAAACCACAGAAACCTTCTGCTGCATAAATACTGAATTTTCTATTTAAATGGAAAAGTTTTCATCAAAAATGAAAACTAAATCAACGCTATTACATTCTATTTTCATGTCTTCTAGGACGGATTGACCACCTTTAAATGTATCAATGGCTCTCTCTGGTTTTATTTTTCACGCTCTGAAAAATAAGAGTATTCTTACACGCCTAAACTTCCATGACTCTTCAGTGAACACTAGGACTTCAGTTTGGTTTTAACTTCTTCCTTACCCTTGCAACCTTCGCAAGTAAGTGCATTATAATGATATCCTGATGCTTTATCACCACAAACTACACAGAGTTCTTCCTGTCGCTTAATCCGAATAGAAGAGTGAGTTAGTCTGGACCTTTTTATTCCAGAATATCCATCTTCAGCATCATGGTCAACCACATAAGTGGGTTTATTTAGTTCATAGGAACCAAATCCACACTCTCCACCACCGAACTGTGGATCCAAGCTGTAAGTGTTGAAATGACTTTGTAAAGATTGGGACTGCAGAGCTGTTGGAAACTGGACCGTAGAGTACTGGCAATAAGCTGATTCTTGAAAATCAGTGTCGTGCAGCTGATAGTTGATTTGCTCTGGCAGAATATCTAGTTGTTTTAATAGTAAAAAAAAAAAAAAAAAAAAAGAACAAACAATAAAAAGTCAAAATTCCATAATTATTTTCAAATGTCAAAGAGCTGTATGCTCAACAATGAGTCCAACATGTCCACTGTGTCTCAAGGACTTGCTGGCCAGCACCAGGAGCGAGGAGTGGGCAATAAACTGATTTACCCTGCTTCATAAGTGCTGCCATTCCAGGGGTAGGCAGAGGTTGCTCTGGGGCTGGGGAAAAGGCCAGTCTGTTGCTAATGGCTTACATACCAATCCAGTCTCCCTTCTTAAATAGAAATGTGTATTTCCCCTTGTTTGGAAGGAAAGAAGGCTTTCCCCATCCTTTGCATTTCCCTTGTGTGGATAAAATGATTTGCAGTACAGTTAGGTCAGTAAAGACATGAATTAATAAATTATCCCACCCCCCAAAAAAATATCAAACTAAAATACAATTTTACTTGGTTATTTCAAGCAAATATATGTATGTATAGATATACATATACATATATATGTATGTATGTGTGTGTGTGTGTATATATATATATATATATATATATGTTTTTGTTTGAACTCCCCATTAAATATACCTTAACACTGTCCTTTGCCATTTGTACACCTGATTTAAATTACTAGTTTCTTTTGTATTTTGTTGACTAACAATTCTAACTATCAATTATCTGGGGATAAATTTGCCTGCTTTACCAGGTTACTATAAGGATGAAACAAAATATGGTATGCAAAAGCATATATAAAATATAAACTAATGCTTAATGAATATCATTATTATAATTATCAGAAGCTTCCAAACACCAACTTACTTTCTTTTTTAAGATTTATCTATTTATTTCAGAGAGAGTGCGCACATGCGCGAGCTGGGGGAGGGGCAGAGGAAGAAGGAGAGAGAATCCTTGGGCAAACTCCCCACTTGATTCCTGGACCCTGATGATGTGGGAAGCAGGCAGAAGAAAAAATTATTAAATTTCCTTACCCACTGACAAGCCCTCGAAACAGGCAAAGTGACATTCCTCTAGGGACTCAACTACCTCCACCTTAACACTTTGCTAAGGGCAAAGAGCAATCCTAGCCTGAGGACCCCTACCCTCAACCAGGATCCTGAAGTCTACTTTAACAATTCCTTTGAAAACTTCCTTTATCTCAAAACTCTCCAAGCATATGACCACTGATACACATCTAAAGGTTCTCACCAACAGAGGCTTTATTACTGGTAATGAATAACCTTTTTCCCGAACAATATCTAGCCCCTCAAGGTCCTGGAAACCTTGCTTACAAAATTCCTTGGAGACTTAGGCCATCCCTGACCCCCTCCCAACTTGTAAGTCATATAATGGACCGCTCCTCACAACCCCAGGTAGCAGCTCTTTCTGCCCACTGGTCCTGTCCTTCTGCTTTAATAAACCACCATTTTGAACCAAAGATGTCTCAAGAATTCTTTCTTGGTCATTGGCTCTGGACCTCACCCCACTAAACCTCCCTTTTATTCTAAAACTTCATCACTGAGATCATGGTCTGCACCAAAATCAAGAGCCAGCCTCCTAACCAAACTGAGCCACCCAGGTGCCACCAACTTACCTTCTGCTTTCAGGAAAATTTCTAAGTCTAAATCCAGAAAATTGGCTCCAAAAGGACCCAGGAATACTGAATATCTGTATCTGTAACTAGTAATATTTGTACTTTTCCTGATGCTGAGTCAGGTGATTAAACTTACTTTTAACCTCAAAATTATACCACCAAGATTGGTAAACAGTATAATTTTTATTAACTCACATAAATCGCTTGCAATCTTATAGCATTCACTCTAATGCTAAGTGTTGAATAAATACTAATAATAGCCTAATATAAAAAGAAAGGTTATCAGTAAAAACAATGTAACTTTTTTTATTAAAGAGGGCCTTTCTTGAATGAGTGTCAAAAGACTGCATAATACTAGCCGATGTTCCATTACCATGGAAATTAGAATTGAAGCCCTAACCTTTACCTTAACCCTAAAAGAAAACGGCATTTAAATTTAAATTTATATAATGGGCATTAAGGAGGGCATGTGATGTAATGAGCACTGGGTATAAGACTGATGAATCATTGACCTCTACCTCTGAAACCAATAATACATTATATGTTAATTAATTGAATTTAAATTTTCAAAAACTTAATAAATAATATTGTAAGGGCCTATTTAGCCAGAGCTATTCCGTCTCAGTTAAACAGTGGTTTTGTTGTTTATGCAGTAAAACTTAAACTGACCCTACCCCCCCACCCCGCCAGGGGAACTTACTTAAAAGCAAGTCCGGGAAACAAGTAAAATGTGGTTGACCAGTCCCTTATAACAGAGCCCAAATACAAGGGCGCGTCAGGCCAGGTGGAGACATCCAATCACTATCTCCCTAAAAAAATGTGGGCCCCACCTTTTGGGCGCCTTTTGGGCACCAATTCTGACCAAGGTGATAGGCTAGTTCAAATAGCTACTATAGGGTGAATTGTAATTCAATTGGCCACCCATGTGTGACCTAGCATGACTATACAACTTTCTCTGTGTGTTACAATCTCATTGGCCACCTGTGTGTGGCCAGGCTCAACCGCCTGGCCATTGCCCTTTAAAAGTTAGTCTGTGAGGCTGGAAGGGGTCACTCTCTCTGTAAGAGGCGGCCCGACCTGTAGGTTTGATTCTCTGTGTTGGCTTGAAATAAAGCTTTGCTTGACCTTTGCTTTGTATCAGTCTCGCTCCTTTGATCACGGACCTAACAATATAAATAATAAATTAATTAATAATTTTTAAACCCACAAAAAACAAAAGATTAAAGATTTAAAAATTAAATTAAATTAAGTTTATCTTATAGCCTTGGTCTTTTTGGAGAAAATTCCTTTTGTATCCTGCATTCTGTTTCTATTTCTTTCCCTTTGATAAAAATCTTAAGATGAAAATTTCAAGTATATGAAATAACTACTCTGAGCCACATTTACTGAATTGCATGTGAACTAGCTTCAGCTAAACCCTAAAAATAACTTCTAATTTGCATGTTAATTCAAATTTTAAAAATCAAATACAATTTTAGACCATCAGGCTTTTCTCTCTTTACATTTGATTCTGGCTTGCAATATTTTAGAGTTACTGATTTTTTTGAAATTAATTATATTCTCTTGTAAGAGAATGATTTTTTTAAGTTTTTATTTTAATTCCTCTTGTAGGGAACAATTTAAACTCTGGTTTGCTTGTTAATTTCTTAAAAAAAAAAAACTCTGTAATTAACCATAATGTCACACAAGAAGTGTTTTATCAACCATTATACAGTAGCTTTTTGTTACATACCATAGTATTGCACTGGTTCAGCAAAACAGTAACCATCAGATGTAGTGACATAAGAATTTGCCATTCTCTGCTCCAAGTCTCACTTACTCATCAGTGAATGCTGAAATAGAACTGAAGGAAACAAAACTTTTGTAGACTCTTTGAAAGTATGCTCATCAAGTTAGCATGATTTTATAAAAGTACAATACTATTTTTGAAAAATAAAGAGTTTAGTAGAATTTTTACATTAGACATTTCTATTTATCCTTTAACTGGAAGAATATTGAGTTCTCATATCTCTATACACCAAATTGTTAATTCTGCCAATTTTTTATTGCTTGGCTCTTTACAAATAACTCAATAAATCTTGGTAATAATGAAAGTGGCTTTTGAAAGTTTACCAAGCTTTGGTGTTAGGCTTCATATACTGCTTTTGCTACTTATTTATGGGTCATTCATTAAATCTCCTTAAACCTTAGTTTCCTTATTTGTAAAAGAAAAATAATAAAACCTTCCTAGCAAAGTTGTTGGCAGAGTTGAATTAATGTATGTAAAATCCAGCACAGTTCTTAATAACTCATTCTTATCATCGCTATTCTTATAGTTCCAAGATCTCCGTGTTCTAAATTTAGATGAATTAGGAAGAAAAAAAGAATAGGAAAAATGGCTTTCATAGCATTTGTTATTATCTTCTAAATCTGCTCTATTTTCTTAGCCCTGTGATATGCTAAACATCAAAATACTAATTTTGGCTCCCTTGACTAATTAAAATTTTCTTTTTCAAAAAAAAGTTTATGCATTACTGGAAAAAGTGTTATACTTTTTAATAGTAAAATATAACACTTTTTTCAGTAATCCATAAACTTTTTTTTGAAAAAGAAAATTTTAATCTTAAGCTGTGATTTCCTGTTGAAGTTTATTCCAATTTTTGGAGTTCCTTTCTAGGAAATAACAAAAATAAATAGTTTTTCCTGTTAAGGATTAATCTTAGATTGTGAATAATTTTTTCAATAATTTTTACAATAATTTTTCAACTAAATGAACTGAAGGAACTAAATGAACTAAAATTTAGTTCTAACTAAAAATCAACTAAATGAACTAAAATGAACAACTCAGGAAACAACAGATGTTGGCAAGGATGCAGAGAAAGGGGAACGCTCTTACACTGTTGGTGGGAATGCAAAGTGACAGAGCCACTCTGGAAAATAGTATGAAGGTTCCTCAAAAAGTTAAAAATAGAGCTACCCTAGAACCCAGCAATTGCACTACTAGATATTTATCCAAAGGGTACAAACATAGTGATTCTTGAAAGGCCACATGCACCTCAATGTTTATAGCAGCAATGTCCACAATAACCCACATGCCCATCAACAGATGAATGGATAAAGAAGATGTGGTATATGTATACATATACAATGGAATATTACTCACACACCCAAAAGAATGAAATCCTTCCATTTGCAATGACATGGTGGAACTAGAGGGTATTATGCTAAGGGAAATAAGTCAGAGAAGGACAAATATATGATTTCACTCATATGTGGAATTTAAGAAACAAAACTGATGAACATAGGGGAAGGGAATAAAAAATAAAATAAGATGAAAACAGAGGGAGGCAAATCACAAGAGACTCTTTTAACTTTAGGAAACAAACTGAGGGTTTCTGGAGGAGAAGTAGGTGAGAGGATGGGATAAATGGGTGATGGGCATTAAGGAGGGCCCTTGATGTAATAAGCACTGGGTGTTATATGAAATTGATGAATCATTAAGTTCTATCTGTGAAACTAATAATATCATATATGTTAACTAAGTGGAATTTTTACAAACATTCTTAAATAGTAAAGTCTAAAAATCATAAGCTATTATAAGAAAAGTTATTCACAGGGGCGCCTGGGTGGCTCACTCGTTGGTGTCTACCTTCAGCTCGGGTCATGACCCCGGGGTCCTGGGATCCAGCCCCGCATCCGGCTCCCTGCTTGGCAAGAAGCCTGCTTCTCCTTCTCCCACTCCCCCTGCTTGTGTTCCTGCTCTCACTGTCTCTCTCTTTCTCAAATGAATAAATAAAATCTTTTTAAAAAAATTATTCACAATCTAAGATGAACCCTTAACAGGAAAAGCTATTTTTGTTATCTCCTAGAAAGGAACTCCAAAAATTTGAATAAACTTCAACAGGAAATCAGAGCTTAAGAAATTGAAAATTATTTAAAGAAAATAAAGGTCACTCTAAAGTCCATAGTCTTTTATAGCTTTATCCTCTCTATTAAAGATAAAGACAGTTTTCACCTTTAAAAAGAACAAAAAAAAAAAAAGAAAGAAAAGAAAATGGGTTTTAAATCATGCCAAAAAATTTATGTGACAAATTTCTTAGCCTCTGAGATTATATTGAGAAGTCTTTTCCTTTGATTTATTATTCATGTGTGAACTTCATGGCTGAGGTTTCTATATCCATGAAGATGATTTAAATAGTAATATCTTTGAAATGTGTCCCCTTTATCATCTAATAGAATGTATGTTCTTCTAAAAGCACTTGAAACTCCCAGTCTTCTGACAGCACAGCAGTAGTCCTTTAGAGTAAGCACTGGATGAAAGGGATGAAGCAAAAACAGTGCCCCCCCCCAAAAAAAGTGAAATTTTAATACAAAGTTTCCCTTGAAAAATCAGGACTAAAATCAGTAAGATCAGTCAGTCAACACTTCAGTGTTTCGATATTGCAACAAGTCAATTGACTCGCCATATAAAAACAATTCTGAATGTTATCCATTTAATATGTGTGATACTTTGTAGCAATGGTTCTGTTCAGTTCTTTCCAAACTTCTCTTTTGAGCCTCAGTTAGCATTTAGAAAATTAAAAATGAATCTGAAAACTTGAAGTTGTTACTCACTCTTCTTTAAAAATTGCTGCACTTACTATTACGCTTCATATAATATTGCACATCTGAAGAAGACTGAAAATTAAAATTGGTACTACTTAGATGTAGACTTCACTGAATGAGAGTTTGAGAAATAATATAGAATGAACCAGAGGTAGCTCGTTAAAACAAAACTGGTGCTTTCCTAACAAAGACACACAAAAGTATCTTATAGTGATCCCACTATCAGGGTTCAAATCGTAAATAACAGTGTTCTGAAACCAAATCCTTCCAATACTGTAGATAAACACCCAAAAATATTATCTAAAGTAGACCTGTTTGGGTTTTTTAATTTTTTTTAAGATTTTATTTCTTCATTTGACAGACAGAGATCACAAGTAGACAGAAAGGCAGGCAGAGAGAGAGAGAGAGGAAGAAGCAGGCTCCCCGCTGAGCAGAGAGCCTAATGTGGGGCTTGATCCCAGGACCCCGAGATCATGATCTGAGCCAAAGGCAGAGGCTTTAACACACTGAGCCACCCAGGCGCCCCTGTTTGGGTTGTTTTGTTTTGTTTTGTTTTTTTCTGTTAGGGTTAAAAGTTTATTTATTTATTTAAGTAATCTCCACATCAAAACTGAGATTCGAACCCATGACCCCAAGATCAAGGGTGACATGGCTCTTGCCTAAGCCAACTAGGCACCCCAAAGCAGATTTTTATGGACTAGTTATATTCAGGGCATTTATGGGACATATACATAAAAAGGTTTTGATTAAAAATATGCCTTTTAAAAAATAAAATATTGTTTTATATGCTCATAGTAATATTTGTATTATTTTCTACACAAAATTTTTCACTAATTATGTGTTCTTCAGCCTTTTAGAAGGCTGAAGCCTTTAATAGAAGTATTATAATATGTATGCATAATAAAAACTTTCAGAAATAAAGTATTCATAAAATTAGTTTAAGAACACTCAAGTAGATTATTAATAGCATAGAGGGAAGTATGTAATCAACAACTTCCTATCTTATTAAAAAGAAAAGTTACAGTAAGCCTGGAGTGATTCTGTTTTGTTATCTTTCCTAGTAAATATTTATTTAAAAACAAAAACTCAGTTAAGAGAGGAGCTTTTATCAAGAGGATCAATTTAGCATGGGCAAAGTCTTTTTTTTTTCATTAACAAATACAACTTTATTTAAAAAGCTGTATTTTTCATAGATTATAATAGCTATTTTACTGAAAAGATACTTTGCAGAAATGAATTTGCATCTCCTCTGCCTTAACTAGGTATTGTGCTTAGTAAATCTTCATATGGCTAGAACTTTACCAGGAAAAACATATTGACTCCAGAGAACTACAATCACATGTTAAAGAATTTTACAGTTTTTATATTTTTACTCTTGCAATATTTTTCATCTGAATCATGAATAATGCATTGAATAAAATTAATATAACTGAAAAGTAGATGGCTTCATAAGAAAAACTGAAAATTTCAGTTTTCACAGTAGCCTCTACCAAAAAAAATGAATGATAGTGCTCTATGATACATAATTATAAAAAATTTTTTACAGCAGAGCCTCTTTGAGCCAAAGTTCTCTGAACTTATTGGAACCAAGAAAAATGAAAATGAAACAGATATATTTGAATAACAGCACAAATGAAGGCTTCTTGATTTTTTTATAAGAATCTGTCCTTTAACCTTAAAATACTGGGAAGATTTTACATGCTGAAGTTTTCACATAGAGTTTTATTATACAGCTTCATTGAGATGTAATTTACATAATATAAAATTCTCTTTTAAATTGTACAATTCTTGGTTTTAATATTCACAGAGTGTGTAACTATCACCACCATTTAATTCCAGAGTATTCTTATTACTGCAAAATGAAATTCCCTACCCATAAGTGGTCACTTCCCATTCTTTCCTCCCCCAATCCCTAGCACAATTTCTATGTATTTGCCTATTCTAGACATTTCATATAAATGGAATCATGCAATTCCATATACAGTTTTAAATGAAAACAGTATTTAATTAATATTATGTCAAGTAATTTTCACAACTTGAGAAATCAGAATATACATTTAGAAAATTTGTGACTATGAAATAAATATATACTTCAGAGATCTAGAAATATATTTTGTGTCCATAAAAATTTTTATACTTTGTATAACCATAGCATTTTGAATAGAAGTTTAATTCCCGGAATACACCTTTATCAGAATATATTTCAATATATTACATATATTGAATATATATAAAATATATAACTTGATATATTTCAAGTTGCCTTGAGTTCACATATAACCTGTTGTTTCAAAAAATAAAATGTATTTTAAGAAGTCCCTGATTAAAAACAAGTTTCATTTTAAAATGTAAGAGTAAATATCACTGTGAACCAACGTACATTATTACATCAAATGTCACCTGGAGTCCAACCACAGTCCAAAATTGTCTTATCATTCTTCAGGAGAAGACCAATCATGTATAATCTACTTAAATTTCTCATCTTCAAGGAGCAAATGCTTTTTATAGTTTGACTATCATAGTAACAACAATTGGCTTATTCATTTCGCAAAAGCTAAATGAATGATGGTGGAAACTAAATAGAGTTCCAAAAATACCCTCAACAGCTTACAGTTTAACAATAGTTTCAATTGCCCACAAACTTAACATTCATATTTAATTGAGACAGCATAAAACTATAAAATTTGGGGTTTTGAGGGAAGACAAAATACTCACAGTTAAACAATATACTAGAGATTGTCCTTTTCCTCGCAGAACAAGTATAAATGGATTTAACAACAACTTCCACTTTCCAGCTGGAGAAAACCGGACCTTTTCCCTATTTATCAAGGAGCCAAGAGGGGGGCACTCTGCATACACTTAGGCTCCAGACACTCCGCAGAGCAAAGCTTCAGCTCTATCTCAGAGACAAACTTCCCACACAATCCTCTCTTGGGTCAAAACAAGGGCAGTTATTATTTGACATAAATCAAATAATAACCAGATCATCAGGGATAGAGGTCTTTGGGACCTTCAGGTCACACTCTCCCAGAGTTCTTTATTGTTTACTTAATAAATATTTTGTTTTCTTGATTAAATTTGACATTCTCCCACTTTGGTTACAAAACACTGGGTCTCTAGAAACTACTAAGCAATACACACAGGAAAGGAAAATCCCTCATTAATTCAAACTCCACTAAAACAGGTATTACAACAATCCAACTTGAAGTTGATCTCTGCATTCCCTACCCCAAAAAAGGTGTTAACCCAATTATAAATGTGAACAATAATTCAGATGGGTACAACAGTATATGTGTGCAAGTCATCTAATCCAACCCTCTCCATTTTTTGGCTTAGAAAAACTGACACGCAGATAGATACTACTCCTTTTTCAGGGGCTCATAGCTAGTTAGTGGCAGAGGTGAAACTCAGTGCAAATGCAAACAGTTGAACAAGATATATAGGTCAGTTCACCATGATTTTTTAATGTCATCTACATGAACAAAGCTTGCTGGATACCAGGGTCATGGTTTCACCTCTGCAAGGCATTTCTACAGAACCAAGGTTATAAATGTATTCCACAGCTACACTCCCATTCTCCTGGTCCCCTCTCTGCTGACTCATTTATTTTATAGGACTGTAGGCTGTGGTCTCTGTCCTCCCTGGTTCTACTGTCACATTCATGTGGCCTGGGATACACTATTCTACCTTTCTTGGCACCTGATCTCAGTCCACATTCAGTTTCTGACTTCACAACTACTAAGTTGATGCTGACTTCTTCAAGGGTCCTTATCTACTACTGGGAAGAATTCATAATAAAATCTCTAAGTCATGTCACATGAGTTTTGTTTCTCTTTTAAAATAATAGGGCCTGGATCTATAAATTTTAATAAATGAACCAAAGAATAATAGTCTCAGCATTATAATTCATTTATTTGATTCTAAAATATTCCAAAAACAGGCTCCAAATTATGTCTTAAAAGAAGTGACACTCGACTAAAAACCTTACAATGAAAGCAAAACAAACAGACAGTACTTGATGTGTTTTAAAAGCAATGCTTAACTTCTAAATATTTACCAGGGACATTTGTTTCTTAAAAAAAACATATTTTTAAAAGAACTTTAGCCTTTTCGTTATTGTATACAAGTATCAGGGATAATTTATAAATTCTTTTATCATTGTTTTTTATTTTTTTAATTGAGTATAATTGATATACAACAGTATATTAGTTTCATATTTAAAACAAAATTATTCAATATTTGTACGTATTGTGAAAAGACCAACATACTAAGTCTGATAAACATCTGTTACCATACATAGTTAAAACATTTTTTTCTTGTGATGAGGTCTTTTAAGATCTACTCTCTTAGCAATTAGCAAGTATGCAGTATAGTATTATTAAGTATAGTCAATATCTTCTACATTACATCCCCATGACTAATTTATTTTACAGCTGGAAATTTGTGCTTTTTGATCCCCTTCACCCATTTTGCCCACCCTCCACCCTCCAAACCCCAGCAACCACCAATATGTTCTCCATATCCATGAGCCTGATTGTTGTATTTTGCATTTTTAAGATACCACATATAATTGAGATCATGCAATATTTGCCCTTATCTGACTTACTTCATTTGGCATAATGCCCTTGAGGTCCATCCATGTTATTGTAAATGTAAACTGTATATATATGGCATATGTATGTATTATATTGGTGTCTATAGAGTATAGATAGTATATTTTCTTTATCCATTCATCCATCAATGGACACTTAGGTTGTTGCCATATGTTAGCTATTGCAAATAATGCTGTAATGAACATGTGAAGCAGATACCTTCTTGAGTTAGTGTTTTCATTATTTTCAGGTAAATACCTAGAAGTGTTATTTCTGGATCATATAATAGTTCTAATTTTTAAAGATTTTATTTATTTATTTGACAGACAGAGATCACAAGTAAGCAGAGAAGCAGACAGAGAGAGAGAGGAGGAAGCAGGCTCCCCGCTGAGCAGAGAGCCTGATGTGGGGCTCGATTCCAGGATCCTGGGATCATGACCTGAGCTGAAGGCAGGGGCTTTAACCCACTGAGCCACCCAAGTGCCCCTAGTAGTTCTATTTTTAATTTTTTTAAAGGATTGTGGAGTTTTTAAAAAGATTTATTTATTTATTTGAGAGAGAGAGAGAGAGAGAAAGCACACATGAACAAGGGGAGGGGCAAAGGTAAAGGAAGAGAGAAAGAATCCCCAAGCAGATTCCCTGCTGAGTGGGGAGCCCCACACAGGGCTCCATCCCAGGAGCCTGAAATCACAACCTGAGGTGAAATCAAGAGTCAGCCACTTAACCAACTGAGCCACCCAGGCGCCCCTTTTAAAAGATCGATTTTTAACTTTTTGAGCAACCCCCATACTGTCTTCTGCAGTGACTGCACCAATTTACATTCCCACCAACAGTACACAAGCATTCCCTTTTCTCCACATCCTAGCCAACACCTGTTATTTCTCTTTTTTTTTTTTGTATTATTATAGTCATTCTAACAGGTGTGAGATGATATCTCATCATGGTTTTGACATGCATTTCCCTAATAACTAGTGATGTTGAGCACCTTTTCATGTACCTGTTGGCCACTTCTAGATCCTCTTTTAAAAAACATCTATACATATACTCTACTCACTTTTTTTTAAGACTTTATTTTCAAGTAATGTCTACTCCCAACATGGGCCTTGAACCCACAACTCTGAGACCAAGAGCCACACACTCCACCCACTAAGCCAGCCAGGTGCCCCTCCTCTGCCCACTTTTTAAACAGATTGGTTGGGCTTTTTGCTATTGAGTTATGACTCTATATATTTTGGATATTAACCCCTTATCAGATATATGATTTCCAAATGTTTTTTTCCCATTCAGTAGATTGCCTTTTCATTTTGTTGATTTTGATGATTTCTTTTCTTGTGTAGAAGCTTTGATGTAGTTTGATGTAATTCCACTTATTTATTTTTGCTATTGTTGCCTTTGTTTTTGGTGTCAGAGCCAAAAAATCATCACTAAGACCAATGTAATGAGCTTACAGTCTGTGTTTTCTTCTAAGAGTTCTATAAATAACTTTTATTATTTGGATAATTACCAATTTTAACCTCTAACTTATAACTATAATTATTAGCTTCTATATACAAATGATATATCTCAAATGCTCAAAGATTCAAACTTTTCATTAATTCATAGCACTTACACCCTCAATCCCACCTTTATTATATTGAGATATTACAATTCATTGACAAGAATCTTCCTTATTTAGTTTTGCAAAGAATAATTCATTCATTTGCAAAGAATAATTCATTATTGTTTAAAATTTTACATGTACTTCCCTGGTTTTTAATAATACCCTATACTTACTGTAATGTTAACATAGTACTTATTCCAAAGTACTTGAAAATATATGCAAATATATGTTAATATTTTTAGATAGGGAGTGCAGAACATATTTTTAATTTTATACAGGCTACTGTCACCTACACACTCTATTTATAACTATATAAGTTACATAACTATATAAGTCACTTAATAAGCATAAATGGGGAAATCTCCTGAAGTTTATTCTTTTTTTACAGTCACTTAATAGGCAGCTAGCCCAGATAGATAGATACATGCCATTTAAAATAAATATTAACATTGTTACTTTATCAGTAACAAACAATCTAAAGGATTATAAATCTAACCAAATAGTTTGCTATAAAGTTGCAAGTGTCATTAGGGAAGGTTCTTGAGTGGATGACATCCATGCCAAGACCTAAAGGATGAGAAAAACCCATAAGAAGAGCAGAGAGAAATGAGTGTTTTAGTGGGAACAACACACTGTTGTCTACTGGCTTGTGTAACATCTAAAGAAGTCCAGTGTGATGAGTGAGGAGAGAAGACAAAATTAGCATAAGATGATACTGGAGAGAAAATATAAACCAAGTTTTTCCCCTATTTTTCTTTTTCTTTTTTTTTAAGTTTTTATTTAAATTCCAGTTTGTTAACATAAAAACCTTAGAGAGAAGACTGAATTTTATTCCAGGTATAATAGGAAATCATTGAAGGATTCTATGCAGGAAAGGCACATAATCTTAAGTATATGCATTGTTTTGTTTTCCTTTATCTTTAAGATTTTTATTTTTAAATAAGCTGTACATCCAATATGGGGCGCCTTAGAATTTTCTATGTAGATAATCATGTTATCTGCAAATAGAAATAGTTTTATTTCTTCTTTGCCATTCTGTATGCCTTTTCTTTCATTTTTAAAAAGATTTATTTGTCTATTTATTTATTTGTCAGAGAGAGAGAGAGAGAGAACACAAGCAGGGTGAGCAGCAGGAAGAAGGAGAAGCAGGCATCCCACTGAGCAAGGAGCCTGACTCAGAACTCAACCCCAGAAACCCGGGATCATGACCTGAGCTGAAGGCAGACACTTACTGGACTGAGTCACCCAGGCATCCCTGCCTTTATTTCTTTTCTTGGGTTTTTCTAAGGGTAGAACTCCAAGTATATGCTCAATAACAGTGGTGAAAACAGACATCCTTACCTGTTCTCAATCTTAGGGAGAAAGCATTTAGATTTTCAGCATTAAGTGTGATGTTAATCGTAACATTTTTTTAAAAAGACTATTTATTTGAGAGAAAGAGAACATGAACTGGGTTAGGGACAGAGGGAGAAGCAGACTCCCTGCTGTGCAGGGAGCCTGATGCAGGGCTC